CTGTTACTGTCTTCCAGTCTATACTATGCAGGAATTTCCAATGCAAAACAAACAAAATAAAACCCTCAAAACAAACAAATAAAACCTATAATAGAGTAAAACTCCTCTTGTCATATCACAACGAAGCCTTTTTTTTAATCAAGGGGCAGGCAATTCTGAATTACAAGAAGCACAGATTTGCCTTATCTAAAAAAACAACTAAATTAGTCAAGACACTTGATATTACTACAGTGAGCTAAATATCTCTTCCCAGATATTACAGGGCACCAAAGTCTTCTTCAGATGTTTTATTCATACAATATTACAAATATGCCAGATATTACTTCTTAAATGAACCGATTTCAACCAAAGAAAGCAAAAAGTTTAGTAATTCTATGTAAACAGTTACCTAAACATTACCTATGATTTTTTTAAATAAATATATCAAGGTTAAAGGTAAACATCCACAGACTAATGTGTTTGGTGTCTCAACTCTACCTTCACCAGAAGCAGCCAATCCAAAAGAAGAAATCTTCAGATTAGCCATGGTTTCTGTCAACTGACGTACCTAAAGATGGGATGAATATCAGCAAAAAGTAAACTACATGATTAAAAATATTAAAATAATAATAATAATAATAACTGTTTAAAGAGTTTCACGGGAAATACTTCCTAGGTACTTTTATGAGAGACTAGGCTTTTATAGTAATATCTATAATGGAAAATATGACGAATAAGTGAATTTCCACCAGCATACTGGAATAAAATTTATTAGACATTAGGTCAAAATTAAACTGTTCATACAGACTTAAAATCATTCATGGAAAAAAGCCAGTAGGCTTTGTAGTAGGCCAGTACAGGCCAGTAGTAGATGAAGCCAGTAGGCTTTGACATTACAATTTTGCTACATATTTTTAATGGGTCCACATATCAACTTTGCTGTATATTTCTGAAGGTCCCATTCATGCAGTTAGAGCTAAATAATCACCTTTAGACTTTTCAACTTGCATGAAAACCTTGATTCTAGTTATTAGCCCAGGGATCAAATTATCATTTATGACATGTTGTGTGGTCACTTTTTTTTAAAAAAGCTGCCCTTCCCCCTGCTTTTCCTTAACTCTTTCACTTGAGATATTTAAAGCTTTTCATCTTGCAACAGACAAATTATCACCACCTTCATAACCTTCTAACCTATCACTATAAAAAGAAATTGCAACTGAACTAAAATTTCCAAAGTATCCAACTGATCCCCCTCAAGTGAGCTGAACGGAACAATTTTAATGAGTCAATTTATTTTTCAGGATGGCTTGTATTTTAACTTTATATTTCGTTTGTCCATCACGGAAGGACTGAAAGGAAGGAGAGAAGGGCTTGGGCAAAGGTATGCAGAAAAGCATTTCAATATATACATATTTGACCATAAAATATTACTGAAAAATAACTTCTAAATTTTCGTCTCTGGATACATTTAAGTAATACAATAACTACCATGAACTAATTAACACCTTTAACAATACTAGACAGAACTGGACAACAACAATACTGCCAAAAAATACCATGCATCTAAAAGGTATACTGTGCAGCTAACAAACTATTTTTCAGTTTTATAGCTGAAAAATCCTTCACATGAGGACACTATCTTAACTTCTGCTCTATTTTAACTTGTTTCTAAATTGAACAAATTAATTTCTTAATGAGATAAACACCAAAATTTTAAATTTCACTTTGTGTTTTTTTTTCAAGCTAAAGGAAGCCTTGTTTCTTACTATGACACCACCATCCATTTCACTGATTTTCCCATTATCTCATTGATCAAACAGATGGAATTGACAAAGCAAGGTACGTAATTCACCATCGATAAAACACATTGTAAAAAGTGGATGTTTACCTCCTACCTTATGATAATGCAAACTTCACCCAAAGGATCTAATTTGCTAACAAGATTATTTGCATAAGAATGGTCTATAATATAAAAACAGCTCAGGAGGAGTAGCTATCTGCAGTACAATCAGACAATGTAAGTGTAAGGTGACAGGATTCCAGAAAGTCCCAAAAGTTAGTTGCTAGGTCAAAGCAATGCCACGGGACTTTTCTAAATATACTTTGAGATTTAGGTCAATATGTAATAGTTCATTACAGAACTAAATTTAAATGCCTTACTACTTGCGTAAGACAGAAGCTTGTTTATATAAGTCTTCCAGTTTATAGCCTTACAGAAAGCAAATTACATTCTGTATTTGTGATGCCTTTAAAACTGGCAAAATAATTCCATACTTCCATTCAGCAGACACTAGGTACAGAACACAAACACTGGTAAAAACCTCTAGAACCTCATTAGCTCCCTCACACAAGTCAGTTGTTGCTGACTATCCACCTCAAGATTTCAAAAAGGAATGGTCCACTTAAGGGAATTTCTGCTCTGAGAGCACTTCATCAGCTACAAACTGATTCATTATGGATTTAATGAACAGTAACCTCTATCCACATAATTTTCCTTCACTAATTCTTTATATAAAAAAATTCCATTTAAAAAATCTTTTAGAAAGCCTAAATCTCTGCATACTTTTTTGAACTCTCCACTGATGTTCTACAACTATTTAATAAGAAAGTCTGTACACTAGAATAATTATTTCAGATTTCAACCAGTCAGCTTGGCAAAAAGTTTTAAAGGAGCCCTGCTAACTGAAGAAGTCAATACATTCAATGAAATCTTAAGTAGTAAAACATATTTGCAGATCACTAGATGAATTTGATTCAACACTGGTAATACCGTTCATCAAGAAAATGCTGCTTGAATCTTAACAGGTGTGGAAGAAGAGAAATTCTGCTATTCAGGAGTGAGCAATATGCAATGTCTTTCATTTCAGCCACTCAATTATGCAATATATGGCACACTTTCTTAGCAATCAGATGACAAGAGATACGAAAAATAACACCTTCCTAACTTAAAATACAAGTTAATGAATAAATGCCCACTGTAATTAAGATGTACAGTTAACTCGCACGAAGGACAACAAAATGTCTCAAAATATCAATAGAAGAGCCTAATATGAAAAGAATTAAAATTTCACAGACATTTCATCAACCCCAATGATGTAAAAAATACAGTAAAACAGCACTGAAATGAGCTTTGGAATACGTAGTCACAAAGAATTTGTTTAAAAACAACCAATTTTTTAATTCAACAAACAAAAAACAAGACATTAGGGCAACAGTGAGTTGCTGATAAAAACAGTTATATTTAAAACTTAAGTTCACATGCTAGCATAATTCACCTTAATGTGTTTACCCATTAAAGAGTTTCACTAATATGAGAATATAAAGATCTAAATAGCACTGAAACTGTTACAGAATCCAAGTCTAGGGTTCCATTCTTAATCATTCAACGGAAAACTTATTTTAGCGCTTTTGTGTTAGGGTGTGATTTTAACTGTCCTTCAGCAGCCTGTTGTATATAATTCAAAAACAATCAAAACAACAAAAACCCCAGTAAAGTTTAACTTGCATTACGAAAAAATAGGTTCTACATTTCGTATCTTTTATAGTTACCTTAAAATCATTTGAGGTACTCCACTCGGGATCTTTTCTTTTCTTCTTCCCTTTTTTATCCTTGGCATGGTGAGTACCAGAAGTCTGATAAGACTGCAGATCCACTCGTGAATGAAACTGGTATCGGCCACTTTCCACATCACAATAATAATAAATTCCAGTTGCTGGATCATAATACAGTTGATTTTCCTTTAGAAGAAAAACAAACAAAGATCTACTATCTGGCCTTTATGTAATTGTTTTTTTTTTTCCTACAACAAGGAACTACTTGTTATATGTAGTCATCTAAATTACCCATTCCTTGCATTTTCTCCCAAGATATTTTTCACTGCGGAGAATTCACACAGGTTCAAAAATTTGCCTTTTTAAAAAACAGTCACATCTTTTTAGCTCATGCTCTTGATTCTGAGGCTTACACAAACTTTATAAATTTCTGAAGTATAAAACATAATTTTTATACAAGAACATTAAATTAAAAATCTAGGAGAGAAAGAACCAAGTAAAAGCTTAGCCTGCCACTTTTAATTTGACCTAAATAATTCAGCAACTCTAGCAAGGTTTTTCCTTACAGTAGCCTTCATTATGGTACTTGCTTCTGTGTTCTTATCATTTATTATCTGACATTTGCAAAAGAGGAGATTTTTTTCCCCTGTATTTTGAGCAAGATATTTACCGAATTATAATAGAATCCAGTGCTATGGTCATAATACAATCCTGTATTTTCATCATAAATAAAACCAGTCTGTGAAACAGCAGCTTCTGCAGCAGCTCTCAAGCTCTCTGCCAACGAGCCCTCTGGTACTGATGTATCTTCTGCTTCCTAAGACCAAAAAGAAATTAAATTTTCTTCCACAAAGAAAATACCAAATGGTCTAACCACCAAGTTTGTAGAATATTCTATTTTAAATAGAACAAATTAACACTTTAGATTTAGATTGTTTCAGAGAATATTAGAAGAAAGTTTAACTTTAGCTGTAATTTGCTGATAAGCTCCCCCTGACTTCAGTGAGACAAGAGATGTCATCCTATGCCTTTCATATTAACAAGTAGTTCATGTCAGAACTAAACACAGTATATTCCTTTACTTTTCTACATTACGTTTCCAGCAGCAATTCCATTTTAGTTGCTACAAGCTAAATTGCAAAAAAAAGCCAAGTGAGCAAGATAAGTAGAAGGCTGAATAGCAGAAAACCAATTACCTTCTCCTTATATGTTGCCCCTTTATATCAATGGAAAGAACAAACAAAAATAAGAGTCAGTATGGCCATATTAAACAGAAAAAGTTGATAAAACCATGCCATGCTTTCAGTGCTTCCAATCCAGTAGTATAAGCTATGTTTTCTTAGAAAGACAGAGAAAGCTTATACATAAATAAGTATTAATGCTATCTAAACCAAAAACTAATTCATCCACATACACGAAAAGCACTTTTATCGGCAGCTTAAAGATGGATGAACTTGCTACAGAACTGAGTATAAAAACAAGATTTACAGGCAAGTTATTTATGCAACCCTACAAACAACTGGGAGTACTGCTGAAAAATTAATGGACTAAGCATTAGTGTATTAAAATAACTACAGAAAGCATGTTAACATTTATGATTTCTTTAAAATACACTTAAACTAATCTATTTTATTCCATGGGTACGAAAGTCCTTGTTCTAACTTCAATACTGCTAGAATACCATAGTCAAAAGTGGAGAGGAGGAAGGAATGCTTTGTTAAACTGCACTTTCAGACAACTACTCTCATGTACCCTCATTGAAAAGGTCAATAACAGTATTTGGTATTGACAAAATATTATGAAAATATACATCAGAGCATGCAGACATTTTTAAACTTCAGAACTAATCTTACACTCAGAACATTATAGGAAAAAAGGGTTCCAAAGCACCAAGGAAGATGTTCATTTGCAATTATTAGTGCCAGAGCACCACAAAGCAAAACAAAACAAAAATGACACTGAAACCAAAACCATGTACATTAAAAGAGAAATATAAAGTAGTGACTTCAAAATCTGTAATATCCCAAACAGTTTTATGACCTGTAAACTCTGGATGAAGTTTTCCTCTTTTCCACATTCAGCAACTTCAGTGCTATCCACCTCTAAAGGAATGCTCCCAGCTGCCTGTGATTCTTCCGCCACGGTATGCTCAGTGTCTTCAGTCCCACGATTGTGCTGCACTGGTAGCTCAGATGCACAATCTTGAGTGTCGGTGTTGTAATAATTCTCATAGTAGTAATAATCTGCAGAAAAAAAGTTACATAAATTAGCAAAGCAGTATCTTAAACAAGCCAACTTAAGCATCCTAAAACGTAATCTGCATATATATGCAAATCTATAAGTAGTCTATCCAAAATCCATTACTAGACAGTGTCACCAATTTTTATACATTGTACTTCAACTGAACAAATCAAGTCTTGTTTTAATGTAGTGGTTAAAAAAAAATGGTGAAAACTGGTGAAACATAGTTATGTAGTTCCTTTCCCTGCCCTGCAAAAGAGATCTTAAAAAGTAATGCTTAAAAGACACAATTCTACTGCACTATACAAACAAGTAAAACAAAACAAAAATAACAAAAAAAAAAATTGTAAGAAACTAACATGAAAGTGTCACAGTCCTGGAAAGCTACAGCCTTTGAGTGAGACCAGAAAAGAGAAACAGACAAAAAGGATGAAGACTAAACGAATTCAAATTATGAATTCCCACCAAAGAAAAAAAAAAACTCAGAAACTCAGGTGCATTAAAGAATGCTATTAGATTATATGGCATGACTCTTGCTACAGTCCATGCTGGTTTACCATGTTTTCCATATGCTTCTCAAGTTTCCTTCAAAAGCATAAATTTCAGTTCAAGACATGCAAAATCAAAGACAGTCTGTAAAAATGCGTAAGTTTCACCAGCAAAATCAAAAAGTTATTCTGAAAACACTTTCCCAAACTACGCAGGGATATCACATAAACACAGACAGGGAAAGAATAGAGGCTTCAAAGAAAAGATGTCAACCTAAACTACAGTGTCAGCAGAAGTAAAACAACAGCTACTCCTGTAACAATATGCCAGTATTTGATGACAGAAGCTCTAAAACACGTGGCTTGGGTTTGAAAGATTGTATGAAGCTACAGAGTTTGATGCAGCTTAGAATACTGACTTAATTTTATATTAGAAACAAACAGAGATTATCAGTTAACGTCACTGTCCCAGGCACCTATCTAAAGCAATTACTCTACCTGTTTCCGACCATGTAGCATATTCATCCGTCTGTACTTCTACACTAGATGTATCCTTCTTCTCCCTATTCTGGACTTCCTTAGTGAGCTCTTCAACCTGAAAGAGGAACAGCACATTGCAGAGCAAAGCACAAGGGTATGTTCCAGTCGTCTGTGTCAGACAAAAACACCACCCAATTCAGACAAGACTGCCTTACAGCTATTTCTACAGATTTCTGTTTTGCAGGAGAGTTTTCCACGTGAGTGGTAAGCCTAATGAAAAACATAACTTCTACCTACAAAGGGAGAGCAAAGACAACTAATTTAAGGCAAACACACATGAGAAAAAAACTAACGACTGTCAGTATGAGAAGAGCCAAGTTGCAGAGCTGAATCTGAAACAGTAACTGCCACTACACAGCGAGGATCCGGGACACTCAGAGCATAGGGCGGCAGCTCCCAGAAGACCGGCAACGAGCAC